AGCATGCATGGGGATAACAAGTCGTGGGAATTGCATCAACACTTAACAGCACACAGTGACTGACATGTCAATGTGGTGAAGCTTGCAGACAGCTTCGAAAACGAGTTGCAATATTTCCATTTCCCTGCCCTCCGTTACTGTCCGCCCCAGAGCCCTCCCAGCCCGTCCCAGCCCTGAGTCTGCCCGTCCCTGCCCATCCCTGCCCGTCCCTGCCCACCACGTGTAGTCTTGATATTACGAATGGGCTCACACGACAGCAGCAAACACTTTTCGAATGGGCTGAGCGACTCATCCTGCCATTACGGCATAGCTTCGAGCAGCTACAGCGTCGATGGGTTGAAACGGTTCTATGAAGGCTTTAGCTCGTGAACGGTTCAGACCAGGGCTGGGGGTGTTCAACCCCATGCCCCGGAACCAACTCAAAGCACTAAACCCAATGCCTAAACCCTAAACCCGAAACCCTAAACCCTACACACTATGCCCCAAAACCCTACAGCCCTTTCCTCTGACCTTTCGAAACCCAGCAAGTGCTCCTGACTCTGAAGCCAGATGACACGCAAAAACACAGACAAAGGTTTAGAGTTTTGGGGTTTGGGGTTTAGGGTGTAAGGTTTAGGGTTCAGGGTGGAGGGATTGAACGTATAGGGTTTCGGGGACTCAGACTCCTCCGTACACCTACCCTGAATAGCCTTAGCACAGGGGCAGCAAAATGGCAACACCCAACACCTCGAGCACAGGCCCAAATCCCAAAGACCCTTTCTGGCAGCTCAGCTGTCGGCTGGCGGCAGGCCTTGTGCGAAACAATGCGTGCGAGACTGCTTCGAAATATACAGTTTTGTTGGTTGATGCTTTGCTGCATTGCCTGTCTCTTCCTTGGGCTCGATACTCTATCATTCGTTGATGTGGACGAATGTACGTACATGCACACACGCTCACCTTGCTTTAGCTTTGCATTCATTAAACCCTAAACCCTAAACCCCAAACCCCAAACCCTAAACCGCAGGGTCCCTCAACCCCCAGCCCACACTCGGTCCTAGCCGAAGGATGCGGGAGGTTTAGGGTCCATAGGGTTTCAAACTGAGACGCCCCCAATCTCGCATGACCCTATACAGGGCCCCTTGTTAGGGTGCAGGGTTTAGGGTGTAGGGTTTGGGGTTTAGGCTTTGGGGTTTAGGGTTTAGGGTGTAGGGTTTGGGGTTTAGGGTTTGGGGTTTAGAGTTTAGGGGTACCCTTTGTTGGGGTGGTCGCTTCAGAAAGGAAAAAAAGGCAACGGGTACCACTGGACTGCCAAGAGGTTTCAGTCTAGGCTTAAGGGCTTAGTTTGTAGGGCTACTCTTGAATAGAAGGTATGTGGGAAACAAAAAAGGGTTGTACGGCTCATGGGGTGTGTGGGGCTTCTAGGCTATGGGGCCGGCTGTAGATCTGGGTTCAGGAGTCAGGGTTTGGGGGTTTAGGGGTTTAGGGTTTAGGGTTTAGGGTTGAGGGTTGAGGGTTTAGGGTCTAGTTTTTGACGGCCATGGCGGTGGGCTGACCACCCCCGGCGTGAACCGATGTACAACAGGGGCGTAGACAATCGGCACGGGTCTTTACAGTACCTTGTACGTAGTGTATAGTCACTATGGTCACTGTCTTCATAGGGGATATTGTACGTCAGGGGTCCTTCGGCTGCCGTATCAGGGGTTGACCGAGGACACGCTAAACCCTAAACCCTAAACCCTAAACCCTAAACGCTAAACGCTAAACCCTAAACCCTAAACCCTAAACCCTGAACCCTAAACCCTAAACCCTAAGCCCTTCCGCTGCAATCCAAGGGATTGAAGCACGGATAAACTGAAGCCCCTGAACCCCGAATGGAGGCCCAGGCACTCCGATTTTGGCTGCGAGTATATCTTCCTTCTTCCAGGGAATAAATCTTTACAAAGGGTCCGGTAGACCCTAAGCCCAAAATAAACCCGAAACCCTAAACCCAAAACCCTAAGCCCTAAACCCTAAGGGAACGACCTCAGGTGGTCCATGAGTAAGATCCGGACGACGCCGACTCGTCCTCTTCCTCCTCCTCTTCCTCCTCCTGCTCCTCCTCCTGCTCCTCTCGGAGTTCAGGGTTTAGGGTTTAGGGTTTAGGGTTTAGGGTTTAGGGTTTAGGTTTATGGAATCTGCACTCTAGATAGAGTCCCAGAAGCGAGCCAGTTGCCCCCAAACCCTAAACACACTCCCTGAACCCAAGGGCTCGCAGGCTCCATGTGTTCCTGAATCCTCAACCCTAAACCCTCAACCCTCAACCCTAAACCCTAAACCCCAAACCCTGAATCCGATACGCGGGCGCTAGTTGACCAAAACGACTGCTGACCCGTTCTTAAGGTTCTCAGGGCGTTTACAGTTTAGGGGTACAGAGGGTCATGCTTGCTACACGTCTCCTTCTCCTCTTCCTGCTCTGCGAAGAGTTCCTGCAGAGGAGGCCGCTGTGCCCTAAACCCAAAACCCAAAACCAAAAACCCAAAAACCAAAACCCAAAACCCTAAACCCCACACCCTAAACCCTACGGCCGTTTTCACGTTCAATCAACTTAGGGCGTCCTAAAGGGTGGCTTCAAGCAACCCGTCTTTGCTTCTTGGGCAGAAGCTCCTCTTAGAATGTCACCCCTAAAATCAAGGGTTCCCCTACCGCTAACCCCCTCTATACTACCCCCCCCCCCCCCTCCGGTTCCCCCCCAGAATCATTAAGGAGGGGGGAACCTAGAGGGGGTAGTATAGAGGGGGTACTCGGGAAGTCCATGATAAAACTGCGCTTGTAAATCTCAGACACGAAGCTACAAATCACAAACCCCAAAGTAACCCTTCTTCGACCTCGGTCCATGTACCCCAAATTGCGGCATACTTGGGGTTGAAGTTACCGCATGTTTAAAAGGTTTAGGGTTACAAAGGACCGAGGCACAAGGCGAACCCCTCCCCCCCATCAATGATACAACACCCCCAACCCTAAACCCTAAGCCCTAAACCCTAAACCCTAAACTCTAAACCGAATACAAAAAAACTTGCCCCCCAAAACCTGGTGCGGAAGTCGCCTTGGTTCAAATCTCTATGCACATTTCCGTGTTGCCTGCTCTGCAGGAAGGTCCCAAGGCTGGTTTACGATTGCCCCGATTGATCCTGGGCATAATTTTGAGGGCCAAGCCAGTGAAGGTTTGGATGACTGAACGTGCGCTGTATTGCAGCTGCCTCTATCGATGTACCGACCATGGGCTTCTGGCCAAGGTTTCATCGTGATGCTGGCACATGCTCCTGAAGATTCTTCACCTGAGGAGTTTGAATTACTCGACTCTCTCTCTCTCTCTCACTTCACGAGTCGGATAGTGTGGGCCTGGCTCATCATGGCTTGCAGTTGCTGCGAATGGTCTTGACCAAGCCCAAGTGCTCCCCCCCCAACCCTCCAAGCGTGCGCACTCTAGCATTACACAGCCTACGATTACTGGCAGTGCCTTGAGAACTTGCGATTTGTGACATACAATCATGTCGTCCTCGACCGGGCTTAGGGGTGGAAACATGGAACCTAGCAGCCCTGAAGATTGAAACGCGAAGCCTTAACCCTTCAGTTGCCCCTAACCCTCACTCTTACCCCTAAAACCTAATTCAAAATCCAAAGGCTTGAGGCGCCTACGGCCTTCACAACCGCAAGCCCTAAACCCTCAACCCCGAAACCCGAAACCCTACTAGGACGGAGTGTTTGTTCGGATAAACGACAAGCCCCCGCTCCCCCCCCACCCCCCCGCACGCTAACACTAAAAAAACCCTAAACCCTAAACCCCAATCCGCGGCTTATGCCTGCGTGTGCTCCTGTGCTTGTAGTGAGCTGGTTACGAAAACAGGAGACCCCCAATATAGATCGCCAAATTGTAGGATTCCCTGCTAATAGGGACCCCGATAAGGTACCCCTAAACATGAACATGGCAATTCAGGGACTGTAGTATACAGGGGCTCAGGTTTTAGGATGCTTAGGCTGTTTAGGGCTTCGTGAGCGTTGCCAAGTTCCCAGTGAAACTACTAATTTCTTAAGAACTCACCCAAAAATGAGCAACATTCGTCCTTATAAGGGTAGTATAGGGAATACTTTTCTTTTCTTTAAATTCAATTTGGGTTCTTCAGCAAATAGTAGCAAAGTCTCCCCCCAACAGTCCCACCCAACAGGCCCGGTGAGGCGCCTGCTCATGCTCCTGCTCCATCTCCGCAAACAGCGACTGCTCCTCCCCAAGGATGCAGGTCAGGGTTTAGGGTTTCGGGGGTTTAGGGTTAGGGTTTAGGGTTTAGGGTTTAGGGTTTAGGGTTTAGGGTTTAGGGTTTAGGGTTTAGGGTCTAGGGTTTAGGGTTTAGGGTTTAGGGTTTAGGGTTTGGGGTTTAGGGTTTAGGGTTTCGGGTTTATGGCTTAGGGTTTAGGGTTTAGGGGATACTTAGACACCCCAACAACAGTCTATAGCAACCACTTTACTGTTGTAAGGGGCCCCTTACTGTACTTGCATTGACAAGTCATGCCGCTTCAAACCCAATCAGGGATCCGTACGTCCGAACTCTGACTTGATCTTTAGGGTTCGGGGTTCGGTTTTGCCAGGGCTTCATGGAAACCTCTTGTTGGGGGTTCAGGGTTTAGGGTTCAGGGTTTAGGGTTTAGGGAAGCTTGTACAGGTTCAGGGAATCGACCCCAACGTCCTCTACCACTTGGAGCCTCTCGGCCGGGCAAAAAACCTCACGGTATGTGCCTAAACCCCAAACCCAAAACCAAAGCAAGAGACTCAACAGCCCTAAACTCTAAGGGTTTAGGGTTCCCAAGGGTATAGGGCTTATAAGTTTCATGGTCCCTTAGTATGGGCCCTGAAAAGGGCACCCCTTATAAACACCTTGTATACCCTACACAAATTAAAGGCCCATACATCAGAACCCTTTAAAGGAGGTTCGGGACCATATTCAGGGTCCATGAAACGACCCTCAGATACACCCCGGGTGTTTATCCAACTATGGTATGGACTGAGGGCGCCAGACCTGCTTTCTCCAAGCCAGAAATTTGGCACCAGAGCTCCCTCAGGTGATTGTCCCGAAGCACCAAACCGATGGGCTTGGCTTTTCGAGCCGCCGTGGCGAAACCATCCTTGAGCTTGGGCGCAACAGTGTACCACGGCCTTCGTGGCATGGTCCACAGATGACAATGGGGATGCCGCGCTTCTCAGACATGGCCTGAAGGGCGACCCCGTCGATCCACGCGCCTTGCTGGCCAGCTGACTTTAGCCAGTCCTGGATGCTTCCTTGCGGAGTAACGTCTTCAGGAGGGACATTTATGTCCTTGGCAAGAAGCTCACCAAAGCGAGCACGATGTTTTTGCACGTGCAGAACGATGTGAGGCCGTGACCACAAGGCGTCAGCTTGGGCTGTTCCCGCGTGAGGTTTTCGCCTCCTTCTGCAGTCACATGGAAAGGGTTGACCAGCCCGGTACCCACAATCACCATTGCCCGCCCCTAAATCTTCAACCCTAAACCCTACAGTCTCAATTTCAACCTTGCCCCGCATTGAACACAAAGACCCTACCGAAACCGGAACCCCAGACCCTGAACCCTTGTTCGGCAACCTGCCAACTAGGATTTTCCGACAAATTGGGTTACCCTTCTTGGGGGCCTGTTACAGACAGGATTCTACTATTTCGACCCGAAAGCCCTAAACCGTAGAAACCATAGAACCCCTAACCCCTAAACCCTAAACCCCTAACCCCTAACCCCTAAACCCCTACCTGGGTCAGGCCTCGAAACCTCGTTGGGCCAGGCCGGTGCCAGTACCGCCACTGCGCACCAAACCTGCCACAGCCTCGGCTTGAGGGGATGAGGTTGAGGGCTCGGGGTCCAAGTTTAGGGTTTAGGGTTTTGGGTTTAGGGTTTAGGGTTTAGGGTTTAGGTTTAGAGTTTAGGGTTTAGGGTTGAGGGTTAGGCACCCCCCCCCCCCCCCCCCGGCTACAGAATATTACAGAATATGCACAATGTAGGGCCGGGTTCAATGCTTTACGAACATGTTGAAGGTTTAGTACGTGGTTTTTTGGGCTTACGGTCGTGACGAACTGGGATTGCCAGCGAATGGGATCCGACGTGCAGCAGCCTCTTCCCTCAAGTAGCCCCTAGTTACCTCCTCAACCCTCCAGGTTTTGGGGTTGATACTTTGGGGTGCGTGGAGCTTGGGGTACGACATAGGGTTGTGGTGCTTTTGGGGCTTGGGGATTCGTTTAGAGGTTGGGCTCACTAGCTTCGGGCTTAAGGTCTAGAGCTTGCGTACCTGTTATATATATATATATACCAAGCCTTTGCAACCAGCACACGCCCTGAAGGAACCGTACTTTGAAACTACGTCCGGCTGCCTTCTTGCCATCATCGTCCAGCCATGGCGTCAGGTCCTTCAAGCGGCTTGTACGCTTGGAGGTAACGAGGGGTATGAGTAGGGTAGCTGTAGTCTATAACTGGCTGCGTCCGTATTTCGGGCACTTCTTCAGACATTTTTGAATCCTATACCCCAAACCATAAACTCTAGGCCCTAAACTCAAAACGTACACAAAACCCTACATAAAGCTATCCTGGTTTAGGGTGTAGGCGAAGGGGTTTGGGGCGGGGTTGAGGTTGAGGCACAGCAGCCCTAAACCCTAAACCCTGAAACCCTAGACCCGCAACCCCTATAAACCTTACAAACCCTGAAAACCCTGAACCCCTAAACCCTAAACCCTAAACCCCAAACCTTAAAACCCTAAAAGCCCTAAACCCTAAACCCTAAACCCTAAACCCCAAACCCTAAACCCTAAACCCCAAACCCCAAAACCCAAACCCCAAACCCCAAACCCTAAACCCTAAACCCGAAACCCTAAACCCACCAGGCCTTGGCCAGTCGCTCCAAGGTCCGCCGGTCGTCGGCCGCCTCCTGCCCTGGGGGAGCTGCCTTCCCGGGGGAGCCCAGGAGTGGTTTGGGGTTTAGGGTTTAGGGGTTAGGGTTTAGGGTTTAGGGTTTGGGGTTTAGGGTTTGGGGTTTGGGGTTTGGGGTTTAGGGTTTGGGGTTTAGGGTTTAGGGTTTGGGGTTTGGGGTTTGGGGTTTAGGGCCCTAAGCCTTCCCAAAGGGGGGGCATGTTTGAAGCTTGCCTTTTTGCCCGCCTCAATCGACCTTCAGCCGTTTACCCTAGATCTTAAACCCTAAACCCTAAACCCTACTATAGGGGCCTTGACAACTATTTTTTTGGGGGCATTTTTAGTATAGTAATATGGGGACCATAAAATATTACAATTGCCTTCACTTCGTACACTTCCTCATGCACTAGGATTCATCACTTGGGCTTTCTAAGGCTTTGGAAACACCCCCAAGAAGCTGATACAAAAGGCCCAAAGACCCTGGATTCTTCATAGCGGCTGTCACGTTCTCGCGAAACTTGTCCATGAATCAATAGTTAAAGCCTTACCTGTCGTTCTCTTGGTAATCCTTGGAGAAACTAATAAGAATACTAAAGAAAGGCATGAAGTCAACCATCCGAAACAGGGGCTTTTCCAAAAATCCAGCATTTTAAGGAGTCATGTGTGTTGGGTTTCGCAAATATTACTAGTAATTTTCCGACCCCTATATTATTCCTGAATCTTCAACCCCTGGGGCCTTGCAAACTCCTGGGTAGTGGTCGTGGCTGGATGCACTTTGAGAACAGCAAACATTTGAACTGGCGAGCGCCAAAGCACCGCACCGTGCAACACACCGAGAACCTGAAAAAAAAAAGCTTACAAGCCCCTCATAGGGAATGAAGGATTTAGGAACGTGTATACTTGATCCATTCAAGAAGTCATGTCCTGCACCTACTTGGGGCGCAAGTCACGTTCCAGGAGCTACGTTGAAGCCCGAGTATGTCTAGGGTTTAGGGTTTATTTAGGGCTTACGAGATGTCTGCTTGTTACGCAGGGGGCGTACCTGGCCTGAAAAGACTCTTGCTGCAAGGGTGAACATCCTCACCTTCAAGCTTCAACCCTCAAGCCGCGAAAGCCACACACCCGAAACCCGTAGACTCCCACACCCAAAGGCCCTCAATTTCTGAAGTGCCGGAATGAAACGGAACTATCTGGTCTAGTGCCCACGCGTCGTCAAGATCCAGCGCATTGGCCAGTTTGTGGCATCTGCGTCAACCGAATGGCTCCAAGCCAGCGGGCGGGTTCCCGCCCGAGCCCAAAACACAAGGGCGTTATTCTCGAGGGCTCCAAGGCCAAAAAGGGTGGCGCCGATCTCCAGAAACTCATGGCCTTGACCAAAAGCGCTGTGCCTCCTCCGGACGGTCGTCTCGTTAAAGGATACCACCCTTGACCCCAAACCCTATTTTTGAATCCCCCACTCCCCCGCCCAACCAGGGTTTAGGGTTTAGGGTTTAGGGTTTAGGGTTTAGGGTTTAGTGTTTAGGGTTAGGGTTTAGGGTTTAGGGCCCTAAACCCCCGAAACTCCCGACGCCTCAACCGTGTAGTCCACCCTCTCCCGGAAGAGGTCGAGGAGCCCCGGCTCAAGCCGATCCGCGCCTCGCAGGGCAGGGCTTCAATGCCGCAAATCCCTTTCTAGAACAGGGTTTAGGGTTTAGGGTTTAGGGTTTAGGATTTAGGGTTTCGGGCTTAGGGTTTAGGGTTTTGGGTTTGGGTCTTTTGGGGTTGGTTGCTTTATGCGAGAACCTTGAACCAAAAAAGGGGGCGAAAGGCCACCAAAGACCCTAAACGAAACCCTAAACCCCAGACCCCAAACCCTAAACCCTAAACCCCAAACCCTAAACCCTAAACCCCAAACCCCAATCCCTACACCCGATTATCACGACAAAATAGCCGCTTCCTGGTTTCGGCTCCCTGGCGCCAGACCTCGAAGACCGCAGCTAGGAAACCGAAAACCCTGAGCTTTAAACCTTGGGGTTCAGGGTTCAGGGTTTCGGGTTTCAGGGTTCTGGGGGGGGGGGGGGAGATTTTGATCACAACCGAAAAACCACCTAATTTCACACATTTGAAGCAAAAACAATGCAAAAAACTCACAAATATGAAGCAAAATTAACAAATTTGAAGAAAAAATCAACAAATTTGAAGCAAAATTACCGAATTTTGTTCTCCATTCGTGCGGTGTTGGGGCCGGAACGATAACGCGGAGCTGGGCCATGGTGGCACAGAAAGTTTCGGCGATGAGCGAGGCGAGATGGGCGACAGCCTTCACACGGCTGGGAGATGGACTGATGGCTGTTCGGGTTGTGGTTGGCGGTGCTCACAGTTGCGCTTTGCTGCAAGATGCGTCTGTAAAATGCTGGGGTTGGGGAGTGAACGGCCAGCTTGGCCAGGGTAGCAGTGAAACTTTAGGCGACGAGCCTTGGGAGATGGGCAATGCGCTGCGCTCTGTCAATCTGGCCAACCGCAGAGTGCTGGACTTGAGTCTTGGATTTGCGCACACTTGCGCGCTGCTGGACGATGACAGCGCGAGGTGCTGGGGATCCAGCTCTAATGGGGAGTTGGGCATCGGCACCACAACCAACGTCGGCGCGATAGCTGGTCAGATGGGCACAGCGCTGCTAGCCACAGAGCTTTCTGGGGGGGTTATAGGGGATGAGGGTTTAGGGTTTACGGGATTTAGGGGTTTTTGGCTCCTTAGGGTTTTGGGTTGTTCCCCCTTATACCAACAGTCCTTAGTGGGGAGAATGGGGGGTTATTATATCCCCATTAAGAACTGTTGGTGGGGGAACATTCCAAGGGTTCAGGGCTCAGGGGTTCAGGGTTTGTGGTTGAGGGCTTAGGGTTTATAGGGTATCAGGTTTAGGGATTTGGGGTGATGGGCTAAAGGTGGGGGTCACCCCTAGTCAATCGCTAATTTCAGGACCCAGACCCCCAAAAACCCCTAGAACCCCCCCCCCCTAAAGCCCTCAAGTCCCTAAAGCCAATCCCATGGAGTAGGGTTTAGGGTTTAGGGTTTAGGGTTTAGGGTCTTCCCAAGTTGCCACCCTAAACCGCAGATCAACCCCAACTCGAATGACTCCCCTGGCCATCAGTATACCGATACCCCAAAGCCCGAAACTCTTCCGCGCCCGCGGCCCCTCTACCCTAAGCTACTATTTGCTTATGAACCCCCCCCCACCCCCCCTCCCCCCCCCGCCAAAGAAGTATGGGGATGACTATCTTTGCTTTTTGTTCTTTGGGGACTCTTCCGCACATATTGGTAAATCCCGAGCCGCCCCTGCGCCCAAAACCCCTTTCGATCCCTCACGCACGGGCCTTGGCTCTGCGCCCGGGACATGGCATCAAAGCCACAGCGCCTGAACATTACTGCCTAGTTCCATTGCTCTACTCTACCCCTAAACCCTAAACCCTAAACCTTAAACCCCAAAACCCTAAACCCTGAACCCTAAACCCTAAGCCCTAAACCCTAAACCCTAAACCCTCCTTCTTGGGGGCGCGGGGGCAGGCTCACAGCTTTAGCATGGGGACTTCTGTGTGTCAACTCGACCGAGCTCAGCTTCCCTCGTCCCTGCCTCTCTCTTGTCCCAGACACTGTTAGGGTTTAGGGTTTAGGGTTTAGGGTTTAGGGTTTAGGGTTTAGGGTTTAGGGTTTAGGGTTTAGGGTTTAGGGTTTAGGGTTTAGGGTTTAGGGGTTTCCGAAAAGGGGGTCCCTTTAAGGGGGTTCGATTCTATTTGCAGTGTAAAGGGGGCACCCTTCTTCTGGGAAATACCTATATCTCAATTTGGGGTCGTAAGCCCTGAGGCCCCTAGAGCCCCTGAGCCAAAATACCTGCTGATTCTGTGCTCTGAAGAGTCTAGGGTGCCCCACCTCCCCTGGTACTGCACAGCTTGACGCGAAAGGAGGTGGCGTTGCGTCTGCTCTGCCAAAGATTGCCGGACCTCCGCGTGTTCGGCTGCCGTGGAGATTCAGGGGTGCTGCTAAGGAGGTATAGGGTTTGGGGTCGTAGGCCGAGGTGAAGGGAAAGGAGTAGAAGATTTGATATCGGGGTTGCAGGTCCTGGTCCACAGGGCTTAGGGCAAGACAGAGTAATGAGTATAAAGTGTTGAGCGTGTGTAGCAGCCTGACTAGGACGAAACCTTCACCGAAAAAAAACTCGCCTCATCCTCATGAAAGCGAAAGCAGGCAGATGCTGCCGTATGAGCTCAGAATCCGAAACTCGCAAATCCCCTTGCAGACCCAAAGAATCATGTATCAAACGTGCCCCAACCCTCAACCCTCAACCCTCAACCCTCAACCCTCAACCCTCAACCCCTAAACCCCAGACCCTAAACCCTAAAACCCTAAACCCTAAAACCCTAAAACCCTAAACCTGAACCCCCCCGCTAAGCGCCACTCTATCAGGGTGCGGCCGAGGTGCCACCAACCAGGCACAAACCCGATGAAGCATGGAGACCTTTTGATGCTTGTAGATTAGGGGATAGGATTAGGGGGCCCCTTGGGGATATAGGCTCTCTGAATAAGGCCCCTGTTTAAGAGAGCCAGAAGAGGGTTAAGAAGGGGTTCCCTTGTGAGGGTCCCCCTTATCCTACCTAGGATAGATGCCCTTGATAGGTGTTTCAATACTTGCATCACTAAACTTGCAAAGGTTTTACTTGGTATTAGAGTTTAGGGTTTAGGGCTTCGGGTTTCTGGGTAGCCCAGGAGCCATGTCATCATCAGTGGGAGCACTTTATAAGGGAACCTACTAAGAAACAAAACAAGGGTAGAGGGTAGCACTGGGGGGGGGGGGGGGGGCGCCTATGCAGCCCCGTTCACAGAGTGTGCTGCGAAATGGAACCCCAACTGGGGCTCGAAGGCTGTTCGGGCCTTCTTTCAAGTGTAGAGTGTCCAGGATCCCTGCCCTAAAACTAAGATCCCTGCTTGAGGATGCTAGCATCTAGGGACCCCTCTGATCCACAAAACGGTTCAGGGTTTAGGGTTTCGGGTTCTGGGGACGTGGAGGATTCCGGCGTACGTTTGCCTTTTGGGATGCGGAAGCGCCAGCTTGCTTTGCCTGGTTGAGGGTGCCATGAATGGTAAACCCCACTCAGGCTCCTCCTGCACCAGTTCCTTCTAAAGCCCAAGGCGACTTACCTAAACCCTAAACCCCAAACCCCAAACCCAAAACCCAAAACCCAAAACCCAACCCTACTCATAACAACCATCTGTAAGCCAATGTTGGATTTGAAAAGCCTGCACGAAAAAAAAACTCTTGCACCATGGTCTGAAAGAAAGAGGGTTTAGGGTTTAGGGTTTAGGGTTTAGGGTTCAGGGTTCAGGGTTCAGGTATGGGCTTTACGTAGGCCTTAGGCTTTAGGGAGTCCTGCACTGCATGTGACTCCCCTGTGCCTCCGCTGTGTTTGTCTGCACCTCGCCCGTGCCTCGCGGTGTTGAAAGAGTTGCGCAGCTTCGGCATTTGGACTTTGTTTGGGGGGATCCGAGGGCTTGAGGGTGTTTAGGGGTTAGGGTTTTCGGGTTTAGGGCTTACAGTAACCTACCAAAAGTTGGAACATCGATATCCTCATACCCCAAGCGGGTTGCTAAAGGGAATCCCGGCTCGTCCTTAAACCATGTTCCAACTTTTTGGAGTTTTCTGTATGGGATTCGGGATAGATTTGCATGTTGACGGTTCCGACGCTGGGCTTCAGGACGCTGAGGATTGCGGCCCAATTTCTGCAGGTAGTACTGCGGGGTCGCACCAAGGGGGACAACAACCAGGATGGGCAGCCGCCCTAAACCCTAAACCCTTCCCCTAACCCTAAATTCAAAAACACTAGACCCACATAAACCCTAAAAAACTCAACACCCCAAACCCTGAACCCTAAACCCTAAGTTCAAAACCCTAAACCTAAACCCTAAAGGCTCACCCGGCCTTCCTAGGCCGCCTGGGCCCAGATCTACACCCTGAAGCCATTCAGACCCCTGGGAGTCCAGCGTATGCCTAGATTAGAGAGTTGTGTTCCCCCTTATACTAACAGTCCTTGTAACACATTATATCAGGGGGTACTACAATCCCTATTGAGGACTGCTAAGTTTAAGATTAGAGATTAAGGGGCATAAGGCGGGACACCTAGAAGGTACATACCCAAAGTAGCCCCCAAAGAACCCCTAAGTAACCCCCAAGGTCCCTTGTAAGGGTCCCTCCTTGAGCCCCTAAACCCTAAACCCTAAACCCTAAACCCTAAACCCTAAACCCTAAACCCTAAACCCTAAACCCTAAACCCTAAGCCCTAAACCCTAAACCCTAATCCAAGGCCAGAGCTGGTTGACCGCCGCGGGGTGGAGGGCAGCGGCAGGTCCGAAGGACTGCTGGGGCCTCTTCAAGCAAAAACACCCCAACTAGGGAAACGTAGGTTTAGGGTTTAGGGTTTAGGGTTTAGGGTTTAGGGTTTAGGGTTTGAAAGTCTGGGACGTGCTAGGGAAGTATTCGGGAGTATTTATCTAAGGGAAGTCACATGGTCCCTTAGTATGGTCCCTTGGCTTGGAAAAGGGTATAGAAGGAGTCCCCACGTAAGGGCCCATATTAAGGGACCATGTAACGACCCCAACAACTTCAGGCGCTTCTACAAGGAGGGGCCCCCTTACTATGCTAACTGTAGTTAAGGGACTTGTAACCTAATTTAAGATCCTTATAACCCAATTTAAGGCTCTCTCTATAACTCGACTTATAGCTAGGGGGCCCCACCGTGTAGAACCCTCAACCTAACTTACAGTCCTTGAAGCCCTCAACGCTTCCGTAAGGCCAGCCATGCTCAAGAAAAGCGCCACGCAACCCCAAAGACCCTACCTGGCACCCGAAACAGCATGGGGGGGGGGGCCCAAAAACACAAAAAAAAAAAAAAAAAAAAAAAAAAAAAAAAAAACACAACAAAACAAATAATAAATAAAAGCCACAGCAGGGTCCGTAATTTAGCTGAATCCCCCGATGTGCTCTTAAGGGGTATAAGGAGGGACCCCTAGCTGAATCTTATCACCTATATAGCATCTATAAATATCTTATGTCCTTATATACATAAGTAGCCCGTAAAAAACCCCCCAAGCAACCCCTAAGGTCCCTTATAAGGGTCCCTCCTTTGGTCTCTTGAGACTCAATGCTCTCTCTCAATGCCTAAAGGCAAGTCGCCCGGCCTTTGTCCATGGCAGGGATGACGACCTCCTGTGAGGGGAGGGGTTCTACCCTAAATAAACCACAACCCTAAGCCCTAAACCCCAAGCTTGGGAATTCTCCCCCCCCTCCCCCTTACTAACAGTCCTTAATCCCCCCCCCCATTTTTAATCCCTACTAAGCCCTGTAAGCATAAGGGGAACATCCCAACCCTAAGCCTTAAACCCTAAACCGGGAGGGTCGCGGACGTCAGGGCTCAGGGTCCTGGTCTTGGGAGTTCGAACTTGGAACTCAGTCATACTGAAACCCGAAACCCACAACCCCCTAAAGCGCCCTGAGGGTTTAGGGTTTAGGGTTTAGGGTTCAGGGTTTAGGGTTTAGCGTAATTGCCCTAAATCCCTAATCCCTAATCAAACCCCGAGCCCTGCACTGCTGGACAACACGGTCTCCTCGTCCATCCGCGCAGACACCTCTGGTGTGAGAAGCACCTCGTCAAACGGGGATCGCTGTGTGGGGGCAAGGCTTGGGACTATTAGACCCAAAAGTAACCTAGGCAGAAAAAAGGCACCCTTTCTAGTTTTTCGGGGATTGTAAGGGAAACTCGGCCCCCCAAAAAATGGAAAGGGGCCTACTCCAGGTCCTAGACTATATAAGGTAGATATAGGGGTCTTCTAGAGGGAATAGGAGTAAGGGTCCCTTCTAGAGGTTCCATCAAAGAAGCGGCAGCAACAGCAGACGGTAACTCCCCCTCCAAAAGCCAAAGCCCTGCCTAAGCCCTAAACCCTAAACCCCCTAAACCCCCTGAACCCCCTAAACCCCTAAACCCTAAAACCTAAACCCTGAACCCCTGAAACCCCAAAACCCAAAACCCTGAACCCTCAGCCCAAAACCCTGAACCCAAAACTTCTAAACCACAACCCCTGAACTTTCAAAAACCTAAGGCCCCTCAACCCTAAACCCTAAACCCTAAACCCTAAACCCTAAACCCTAAACCCTAGCCTTGAGCTTCTGCCCGCGGCCAATGCCCCGGAGGCGGTAGGCGCCCTGGGCGAAGTCGCGCAGAGTGGAGTCCTGGGAATTGTGGGAGATATCTTGGGTTTAGGGTTTAGGGTTTAGGGTTTAGGGTTTAGGGTTTAGGGTTTAGGGTTTAGGGTTTGGGGTTTAGGCTTAGGGTTTAGGGTTTAGGGTTTAGGGTTTAGGGTTTAGGGTTTAGGGTTTAGGGTTTAGGTCTTAGGTTTAGGCCTAGCGCTTGGGTGCGTTAGTGGGTTGTAAGGTTCAGGTTTACAGGTCCTCGGCTGAAGCCTCCAGACTCAGAAGCATTCGGTTGCTACCCGGAGGAGCGTAACTCAGCGTAACTAAGCCCTAGACTAGACCGTGAGGGGCGGGCCAGAATGGGGGTGGGAATTTTTGGGGAACTGAGAACTGAAGGGCTGTAAATCTTAACAAGACCCTAAACCCTAAAACCCTAAAACCCATACCCTAAAACCCTAACCCTGAACCATAAACCCCAAACCCCAAACCCTAAACCCTAAACCCTAAACCCTAAACCCCAAACCCTAAACTCTAAACACCAAGGTCCGCCAGGCCTTCCCAAGCGTCAGCGCTGCACAGGCCGTCGGCGGATGCCGGATGTCGATGCCGGTGGTATGCACCTGGTCGTAGAAGACCTGGGGGGCAGCGGCTGTCGGGGGTTTCAGGTTGACCCTAAACCCTAAACCCTAAACCCTAAACCCTAAGGCTAAAAGGGAATGACAGCATTGGGATGCTTGGCTTGTGACAACACGGAGGCGGGAGGCGGGAGGCGGACGTGCGATTTTCTTTGCAGATTCTTGCCGGATTTAGGGGCTCAGGGTTCGGTTTAGGGTTTAGGGTTTGGGGTTTGGGGTTTGGGGTTTGGGGTTTAGGGTTCAGGGTTCAGGGTTTAGGGTTTAGGGTTTTAGGCCTTTTTGCGGTTTAGGGTTTTGGGGCTTTTTGAGTTTTAGGATTTAGGGCTTGGGGTGTTTAGGTTTTTAGGATGGCGACATGTGATCTGCTATGGGTTTGCTGCCGTCTGTAAGTGCAACATTGAAGATGACCGATGATGCGCTAGACGGGAAAAAACTGCCGCCCAAGGCCCAGGCTGTCACCCTAAACCCTAAACCCTAAACCCTAAACCCTAAACCCTAAACCCTAAACCCTAAACCCTAAACCCTAAACCCTAAACCCTAAACCCTAAACCCTAAACCCTAAACCCTAAACCCCAAGCAAGCAAGAAGTCAATCCAAAGGCCCTGGTGCAGGTTAGGGGTTTACGGCTTTAGGATTTAGTGATTGAGGGACTTATAGATTCTGGCATTCGGTACCCCAAAGCCCTATGTAAAGCCCAAAGCCCTACACCCTAAAGCCCCAGACCCAGGGTTCAATATGCGACTCATGCAGAGACAAGATGCAAATCGACGGCTCAACGGAAGGGTGCAATTCGAGAGCTTGACCTGGGTTGGTAGGATTTGGGTTTCTGGTTGGGTGGGCAATTTGGGGTGGCTCGGGATTACTCGGGTTGAGAGGCTTACGAGCGTGGGCGATGCAGTTTTTGTATTGGGCTTGAGGTTCCGGGTCAGGGGGGGTGGGGTGGTGGGGCTTTGTAGGGGGAAGTGGCGAAAAACCTTCCTGAAGAACAACTTTCAACCAAACATACTCCTTCCTAGGTTGCTTCAGAATAGCGGCTTTGTAAGCAGAAACTCTCCCCCCAAAGAAGGCTTGCGGTTTTTGAGGTTAAGAATTTACCTGGCTCTAGGTCAAGTATATAACCGGTGAGGAGACTGGGGCTGATGGTTTAGGTCTGGGTTCTATAGGGTTTTACCCTAAACCCTAAACCTTAAACCCTAAACCCTAAACCCTCAACCCTAAACCCTAAACCCGAAGTTATCGTGAATCAAGCCCTGTGAAGACCCTTTCCTGGGACCATTGACACCCAGCAACATGGCGAGCGTTGATGCCGGACCCAATTCTCTTGGGAGAGGCAGCGAGGATGCTCGGAAGCGATTGGGGATGATGTTGTCTTGCTGTGCCCAAAGCACTCCATCCTAAACTCTACGAAGTTCTTCGCCTACACGTCCCGGCTTTGAGGCTTTAGAGTTTAGGCTGTTGGTTTGGTTTTTAAGCTTGGGGGGGTAAGGGTTGCGAAGCCCCTAAACTCTAAATTCTCGATCCCTACACCCTAAACCCGAAACCCACAAACATAAACCTGAAACCCACAATCCGAAACCCTAAACCCTAAACCCTAAAACCCTAAACCCTAAACCCTAATCGTTAACCAAAAACTGCCAAAAACCCCACATCCTAAACGTTAGGGACCTCGAGGCCCCCGACTGCCAGCGTCCGCCCACGGCGCAGAAGCCAAGGTTCACCCCCGGGGTCCAGAAAAACCACCGCCTGAGGGAGTTTAGGGTTTGGGGTTTGGGGTTTAGGGTTTGGGGTTTAGGGTTTAGGAGTGTGGGTTTAGGGTTTAGGTTTTGGGGTTTGGGGTTTAGGGTTTGGGATTTAGGGTTTAGGGTTTCGGGGGCCGGAGGTTTCAATGGACAATTTCAGCGCTAGGCGAGGCCTCATAGGGCAGCCCGAACTCCAGGAGAGCGCGCGCCACCTGCCGGCCGGATGCTGAAGCCCCAAGCCCGAAACCCTAAACCCCAAACCCTAAACCCTAAACCTCAAACCCTAAACCTCAAACCCTAAACCCCAAACCCCAAACCCCTAAATCCTAAACCCCAAACCCTAAATCCTAAACCCCAAACCCTAAACCCCAAACCCTACACCCCAAACCCCAAACCCTTTTGGGAGCTGGAGGCCTCCAAACAACAAAAGCTACTCAACTTGGTCTTGGGCCTTCGGGGTGGTCCTAGCAGCGATGCTGCCCCAGGTACGCCCTGAACCCCTTAGAGCCCAAATCACTCATCAAACCCAGAACCTTGAACCCTAAACCCTAAACCCTAAACCCTGAACCCTAAACCCCCCCAAGTACCCTCAAGGCCCTAAACGTTGTTCCTGCCCATGACAACGAGGTAGATACAAACTCCATTGGGTGTGTGTGCTTCGTGCTTCGTTGCAGGGGGCCAACAGGTTGCCTCTAGGTCATTCCCTCAACTCCATATCCCAGCCCTATACACCCTGATCCCTATGCCCTGAAACCCTTAACCCTGTTAGCTCTGTCCTGAAGCCTCAGCCCTAAGCCCCTAAGCAGCCCTAAACCCTACAAATCTGCACCCTTCCGGGAGCCCGAAACCCCGAAACCCTAAACCCTAAACCGGTGGAGTGTTGCCTGCTCATTGCTCAGCCCTGTGATCAAGGCACCCACATCCTCGGCTCAGGGGTTTGCGGTCTGAAGAGAAGGGTTTAGGGTTTAGTTGAGGGTTTAGGGTTTAGGGGTTGAGGGCTTAGGGTTTAGGGTTTCGGGTTTAGGGTTTAGGGTTTAGGGTTCAAGGCTTAGTATTTAGGGCTTAGCGTGTTTAGGGGTGCTTAGGGCCTCTGGTGTTAGGGGTGCCCCCCCCCCCCCCCCCCCCCCCCCGCCCAACACTTGGGGGCCATCGGGAATCCGTTAAGTCCTTGATCCATCAACTTCCTTGATCCGATCTTGGCAGAAATTCAGCCTGCAAATGGGCTGCTCTCAAAAAAAAAAACTACTACGAACATCCCCACCCTCTCTTGGTAGAGATACTCTGGGGTTGGGCACTCCAGGGACGCTCTGGGGCTGGGCACTCTGAGGACACTCTGGGGCTGGGCTCGGCTAGGAACTCCAGGGAGACTCTGGGGCTGGGACTCCGGGGTTGAGCACGCCAGGGAGACTCTGCGTTTGGGCACCGGGCACTCCAGGCAGACTTTGGGGTTGGGCACTCCAGGGAGATTCCGGGGCTGGGCACTCCGGGGAAATTCTGGGGTTGGGCACTCAGGGACACGGAGTAGACGTCTACAAGGCTGCGTTCTCCAACGAAGGTACGTGCCGTTCTACCTTAGCATCCCTCAAAAAGGGTGTAGGGTTTAGGGTTTAGGGTGTAGGGGATTATAAACTTACAAGCTCAACCCTGCCACGTGCTGCCAAAGCGCGATCAGCGCGTTGAAAGGCGGCTCGTGCGTGGCGACAAGCGATAGCAAGGTCCGCGCCTTGGTTTAGGGTTTAGGGTTTAGGGTTTAGGGTTTAGGGTTTAGGGTTAGGCTTTAGGGTTTCGGGTTTAGGGTTTATGACTTCTAGGGGCTGGTAGTAACAAAGAACCCTTCGTGTGTATATTCTGTTGTACAGGGGGGGGGGGGGGGGGGGGGGGGGGCGACGTGTCATGCTTTGCAACTGCGGCAGGCTCATCCTCTTTCCATGACCCTCAACCCTGAAGCCAGGGTTTAACCCTAACCCTAAGCCCTAAGCCCTACAAACCTACAAACCCTACAAACCCTACAAACCCCACAAACCTCAAACCCTGTAAACCCTAAACCCTATAAACCCTAAACTCCAAAACCCCATAAACTATACCGACCCTAAACCCTAAAAACCCTAAACCCTAAAAGCCCTAGACCCTAAAAAACCATGAACAACCCTAAAGGCTAGGGTTTAGGGTTTAGGGTTTATAGGGTTTAGGGTTTAGGGTTTAGGGTTTAGGGTTTAGGGTTTAGGGTTTAGGGTTTAGGGTTTAGGGTTTAGGGTTTAGGGTTTAGGGTTTAGGGTTTAGGGTTTAGGGTTTAGGGTTTAGGAAACCCTAAAAATCAAAAAACAAAAAAAAACCCTCAGGCCAGGGTTTCGGGACTTCGGGCCACCAGGCTCCCGGGCGCTCCAGCCGTCGTCGACCAGCGCCACGTCCACGACGAGGGGGTCGCTGAGCGTCGTCAGCATCTTGGCGTCGTCGCCTGGCGGAGCTGGATTTGGTTTAGGGTTTAGGGTTTAGGGTTTAGGGTTTAGGGTTTAGGGTTTAGGGTTTAGGGTTTAGGGTTTAGGGTTTAGGGTTTAGGGTTTAGGGTTTAGGGTTTAGGGTTTAGGGTTTATACCCAGGCCCCTGGGAGGATCCAAAAAGTAGATCCCCTTAAGGGTTCCTAAAAATGACCCAGTAGTAGTGTAGGGTTAGGGTTTAGGGTTTAGGGTTTAGAGTTTAGGGTTTAGGGTTTAGGGTGTAGGGTTTTGGGTTAGGGTTTAGAGTTTAGAGTTTAGGGTTTAGGGTTTGAGGTTTAGGGTTTAGGGTTAGGGTATCTGTTTGGGGTTCTGCTTTTGGGATCCTCCCAGGGTTCTGGGAAGGTTCTTCTCTTTCGGTTTGCAAGAACCCAGGTGAGCTTGTGTCCTGTCCACCAACCCCTAGAGACTCCAACAACCCTTAATTCAGGAATACGCCTTAAGTTATTATAGGAGCCCTAATATGATCTAAGGTATATTCCATAATGAAGGGGTTTTGGAGTCTCTGGGCCCTGCTTCTAAGGGCTGGCGCAAAACCGAAGCAACCCAGACGGCATGAGACGGGTCGATTTGCGGAGGTCAGGGAGAAAGGGAGGTGGCAGGTCTTACGGGTTAAGGGTTTAGGGTTGGGGTACTGTTTGAGGGTTCTACTTCTAAACCCTAAACCCTAAACCCTAAACTCCATACTCCATGGAAGACCTTAAGCCCGGTTTAGGGTAGGGGGGCCCATCCAGTTGGCGCCTCGCGCATACTGGCACTTGCCTCAGGCAAAGGCTTAGTTAGGGTGTAGATTTTCTTGCTGGCTCATGGAAGGGTATGAGGAATAGCTAACCCACAGAATCCCCTTAAAGGAGAAGACGTAGGTGGATAGTAACCTCATCCCCTCATTCCCTACTAAGAACCAAAAGTCTAGGGTGTAGATTTTGGGGTCAGAGGGTTTCGGGTGTAGGGCTCAGGGTCTTTGGTGCTTGGGGTCTAAAGCTTTACAGTCAGATTTTCCAATCTAGGTTTGAGGGTAGATGTTTGAGCGTAGGTCAACAACTTGAAAATTCGTAAAAACGGAACTTCTACGGGATACACCGGGTACGCCCTATACAGCCCCGCAAAGGACGCCATATAGGGGAATATATTCGAATACCTAAATCGCGAGTCGATCGCTACTTCCTGATTAAGAACTAGTAAGAAACAGCATGCGGAGGCATCCGATGTCTTTGACCGTGCGTGTGTCCCAGCCCTAAACCCTAAACCCTAAACCCTAAACCCTAAACCCTAAACCCTAAACCCTAAACCCTAAACCCTAAACCCTAAACCCTAAACCCCAGTCCCAACCCCGGCCATACAATCGAAGATCCCTCTGCGCCATGAGAAGCCCTCGACCCACGCAGTACTGCGGATCTCCAGTCCGAGCAGCCCAGAGCCTCCTGGATCCTATATAAATCCCAAACCCTAAGCCCTAAGCCCTAAATTTTAAACCCCTAGCCCTAAACCCTAAACCCTAAACCCTAGCCCTAAACCCCAAACCCTTCTGAACTCTAAGGCCTGCAACTATTCGAACATGCGGCAAGTAAACCCTTCAAACGCAAAACCGCCCCAGGAGCGAGGACCCGAACAAAAAGTGACCCGCGCCCAAGCAAAAGCCCCAGCCAAAGCTTACTGTAGGGTTTAGGGTTAGGGTATAGGGCGGCTTGCATCAGAGGTCATCAGCTCGCGAGGCTGATCGGGCCTGTAAACCCTAAACCCAAAACCCAAGACCCCAAACCGTAAACTCTAAACCCTAAACCCTAAACCCTAGAACCCTAAAACCCTAACCCGAAACCCTAAACCCTAAACCACAGGGTCCTATTGGACCCACTACTCATGCCCGACGGCCCCCATTCGAGCTTAGTGGCCCAATGCCAGGGGCAGCAGGTCGTTGGGAGTGCCGCTGAAGCCCAAGCGGTTGGAGCAAAGGACCTGCCACATTGGGGTTTGGGTTATGGGTTTGCCCTGAACGCTGTTCCCCCCCCCCTCCCCCCCTCCAAGAAGCAAAAAAAAATATAAAACACCTCAAGGCCGATCTGCAAAGCACACGCCAAGCAAGCCAAGACCTTACAACACAAAACAACCATGCAAGAATACCCTGAAAACACAGAGTCGAAAATCCACAAGACACGGAACATGCGCGGAAACGGACACAGAGAGTAGAGAAATGAGGAAGGAGAACAACACAAGTGCAACATTGTCCGAAAGAGCGCGCTGGAGAAAGTGGAGAAACTGATAAGACCAAGGAGAAGACAAACACATGCAAGACTTTGCGCGGCCTCAAATACGTGCCGACATGTGGACCTTCATGTACGAAGGGTGGACTCCTAGAGGTTATTTTACTCGAAAGAATGAAAAATTAATTATCCTACATTACCGTGAATAAGGAATCATATTTCTATTTTTTGGGGGGTTCTTACGGCTTATGCTGCTTAAATTTCTGATTCCAGGGTCAAAGATGCTTGTCAGGCACGAAGCCTGCCAAGCCCAAAACGCTAAACAATCTTCCGAAGTACCCACAAAAAACAAAGCCCTATTTCGGTAGGCACCGCGAACCCTAAACCCTAAACCCTAGTAACCCTAAACCCTAAACCCTATAAACCCTAAACCCTAAACCCTAAACCCTAAACCCTAAACCCTAAACCCTAAACCCTAAACCCTAAACCCTAAACTTGGTGGTTTGAGAAGGGGGGGAGGGGATCCACGAATGCGCTGCGCATGTGCCTCACCGCCCAGATCCTGTCCATTGGCAGAGAGCTTGGAGTCCGCGTGGCGGAGGACCACCGGGAAGACCACGTCGTTGAGGTAGAACTCCTTAGGCGTTTTCAAAGAGGGTTCAGGGTTCAGGTTCAGGGTTTAGGGTTTAGGGTTTAGGGTTTAGGGTGAGGTAGAACTCCTTGTAGGGTGGGATTTGGGGAGGTTTAAGGGGTGTCAGGGGCTGAGGGCATCAGGCATTTGAGGGGGATTTGGTTGATTTAGGGGGTTTAGGGTTTAGGGGTTTTATAGGCCCTTGTGAAGGGGGCTATGAGGGTTATGAGGGTTTTAGGTTTCAGGGCTTTATAGAACACCTTGGGCGTTTAGGGGGTTGAGGGTTGTGAGGGTTTTGAGGGTTCAGGGCTTGAGGTAGGTAGAACCCCTTAGGCGCTTATAGGGGGGTTGAGGGCTATTGATGGTTATGAGGGCTTTGGGGTTAAGAGGTTGAGGGTTGTGGGGGCTTTCGGGCTCAGGGCTTGAGGGTTTAAGCCTTGAGGGTATCAGGGCATTAAACTAAGGGTTATAGACCCTACTTCGGAGTAGACCCTGGACAAAAGTATATACTTTTGAGGCAGAAGTAGCTATAATAGGATCCCAGAACAACATATATATATATACACATACATATATATATATATGTATATTGAAGTATAGTACTCAAAAGACCCAGTAGAGTTCAGGGATAGTTGGGGAGCAAGGCGCTGAGGAGGCACGAGACCCTCAAAGGCTGAGGGTTCAGCGTTTTATAGACCCTATAAGAAGGTTACCTTAGGGTTTAGGGTTTAGGGTTTAGGGTTTAGGGTTTAGGGTTTAGGGTTTAGGGCAAGAGTAACCTAGCAACTAAAAAGGGTGCCCTTTTTGGTTTAAAGCGGCTTAGATGCGAACCATGAAAAAAAGTAAGGGCCTACTCTGGGTCCTCTAGTAATCTTCAAGACTCGCCTGCAAAGACCCCCCCCTAAACCCTAAACCCTAAACCCTAAACCCTAAACCCTAAAGCCTGCACCCCAACAAGCCTGAAAAGCCTAAAGGCCACAGCGCCCAGCAGCGGAAGCCTCGGCCCCCTAAAAACCTTGCAGATTTGCAATTCCTGCACTAGCCCTAAACCCTAACCCTGAGCCCTAAACCCTAGACCCTACCAGTGCTCAATGGAAGGTCGCCCTCTAGGTTTTACCATTGTTTCAAGACCTGTCGAAACAGGGCAGGCAGGAGAAGTGCCGAGGAGCTACCTACGCCCTGTCTATATCCAGCACTATATTAAAACATCTACATATACATACACACACATATCCACATATATATATATATATATATCTCTGTGTGTGTATATGTGACCCTCATTTGTACACATGTACTCTTCATGTTATTACTTGTTCCATTTTTTTGTGGGGGGGGGGGGGGGGGGAATCGCAGGGCTCTCTCTACCCTGCAGTGAATTACCCTTTTCTGCACCCGAGAAGGCACCCTAAAACCAATGCCCCAAGGCGCCATGAGGAAGGGAGAGTTCTTGAGCACATCGAACCTGGATGAAGTTTAAATTGGGCAGTTTTAGGATTTGGGGTCTAGGGTTTCGGGTTTAGGGCTTAGAGCTTTAGGCAGTTTAGGGTTTTAAGGTTTGAGGGTTCTAGGGTTTTAGGTTTTCTGCTTGAGGTTTGGGTTTCGGGGTAAGGACAGCTGCCCTCTTGCGACTTGGGAAAAAGCCTTGACATGGAGCCCATGTTTCTCAGACGTAGAGGGTTTGGGGTTTGGGGTGGAGGGTTTGTAGGGTTTAGGGTTTAGGGTTTTAATGGGTTTAGGGTTTAGGGTGAGGTAGCTGTGTGGCAACATTCCTACAGCTTCTTCATGGCTGTTGCCCTTCAGCTTGTAGGAAACATACGACAGAAACTGCAGGGTGCGCGGGGTCAAAAGACGAGATTTGGGGCATTTATATCCTTACCAAAGGGAAGCTTAGGGATAACAATCGAGTATACTTCCCTAAGCCCTCCCTTTGTCAAGGTGCAGTGAAGTGAGACCCAGGGTCCTCTGTGATCGCGGAATTCAGGGATAGGGCTCACCAACACAGGATGAGTGGAGTCGACCTGTGTACGTAACCCTAAACCCTAAACCCTGACTCCTCCTCGCCAAGTCGCACGAGCTCCACCTGCGAGGAGTCGCGGCCATCAATCCTTGAGGGGGGGGGGGGCTCATTCGTTGCTGGCTGGCTAGGATCTCTGCAAAATACTCCTGAATAAGACCCTCTTAAACCCAGTAAGGGAAAATAGAAAACGTTCCTTAGATGCAGAGCACTGATTTGGAAGGCCGGTGGGGGCCAAACAAAGGCATTCTGACTTGGGAATGCGAGAATGCAGTGGCTTGGAAAGCTGGCGGGCCAAATTCATTTTGAAAGGCCTTAAAAAAAATGCCTTTGGAAAAAACAGTCTGCTTCCCTGTGGTTGAAGATTCGGGACGGTTTTGGAGGCCTTGAAACTTGACCTGGTAATGGGTTTAGGGTTTAGGGTTTAGGGTTTAGGGTTTAGGGTTTAGGGTTTAGGGTTTAGGGTTTAGGGTTTAGGGCTACCTCTCGGACACGTGCGCTTAGACAGAGGACGCGCGTGCTTGAGGCAAAGTCAGGTAAGCTTTGGGTGTCAAGGGGCCCTAAAACCTCCAACCCGTAACTCAAGGAGGTTGTGGTGCCCCTAAACCCTTAACCCCAAACCCTAAACCCTAAATCCTAAACCCTACACCGAAAACCCTAAACCCTAAGCCCTAAACCCTAAACCGGATCTACCATCTGAGCCTTAAGCCATGAATCCAGAGCTTCTGAATCCTTAAAGCTTTTAGGGTTTAGGGTTTAGGATTTAGGGTTTCGGGTTTAGGGTTTGCCACACGATCATGTCCTTCAAGCAGGGGACTTACCGCCAAAAAGTTGAAGCACTTTCATTACAACTCTACTGATAACCCCAACTTTGGAGCAAACCCTGGAAATCAAGTAAATACTTTTAGGCAGAAGTAGCTATAATAGGAACCCAGAACCAAAAACAATGGTATTAAAGTATACCCTAAACCCTAAACCCCAAACCTCCAAACCCAGTAACTTGGACCGTAAAAACCCAAGCCATCCGGTGCACTTCATGGGCCCCTTTACGAATGAGGGCCTACTCTCACTCTAAACCCTACACCCTAAACCCTAAAACCTAAACCCTAACCTTAAACCCAAACCCTAAACCCTAAACCCCAACCCGAAACCCTAAACCCTAAACCTTAAACCCTAAACCCTAAACCCTAAACCCTAAACCTTGTAACTTGGGACGGCGGAGTGAAGGCACCCAGGGTCGGGGATTTCCGGAGCCACCAGAATTCTGCGAGGGCTCCACTCCAGCGGGGGAACGAGCTTGGATTCTGCGTCTGCCTGTAGCTTGCATAGGGTTTAGGGCTTAGGGCTTAGGGCTTAGGGCTTAGGGTTGAGGGGTTTAGGGTTTAGGGTTTAGGGTTTAGGGTTTTAGGGTTCAGGGTTCGGGGTTTAGGGTTTGGGGTTCAGGGATGACTGGGGGCTTAGGAGATCGAAGGCTCATGCCCGTTCATAGGGCTTTGGGAACGTGTTTCCTGCGGTTGGCAGGTAGGGAATCGTATGGAACCCTGGGCCTACGATCTTGCAACCTTTTAGTAGCCCTAAATCCTAAGTTTAAGTCCCAAACCCCAAACCCTTGAAACCCTACAAAGGTCGCAGTGTAGGGGGTTGGTTCGGGGTGCGGGGTTTCGGGTTGAGGGTGCAGGGTTGCGGGTGGGAAGTGTCTAACTACCGGCACCCCTACGCAGACCCTGAACCCTAAACCCTAAACCCTAAAACCCTAAAGCCCTACACTCCACACCCTGAACCCTGAACCCTAAACCCCAAACCCTTAACCCTAAACCCTACCCCTAAACCCTAAGCCAAAAAACCCTAGGTTGGCATGCCTTTCTTTCTGCAGGCGATTGCCGGCGCAGAGGTTGGCGGTCAGGGTTCAGGGTTCAGGGTTTAGGGTTTGGGGTTTGGGGGTTGGGGTTTAGGGAACATATGGAGACTCGGGGTTAAACCCTAAACCCAAAACCCTAAACCCTAAACCCTGAACTGCAGACGCCCTAAGCACACTGTGGCTGCTAGTGCTGAAAGGACTCCACCCTCGAGCCAAACGGACCTGCGTAGACCACAAACCCAACCCGAACCCCCGAACCCAAAACCCTAAACCCTTCTAACCCTGCTAACCGCTACACCCTGAACCCTAAACCCTAAAGCCTAAACCCTAAACCCCAAACCCTAAACCCTAAACCCTAACCCTAAACCCTAAACCCTAAGCCGGAATCCCTAAACCCTAAACCCTAAACCCTAAACCCTAAACCCAGCTGCGCCTTGCCCGCCCCGCGCGACGCACCAGCGCCCAGGACCAGAGCCTGTGCCTCAACGACCTGGCGACTCACTGAACCTCGGGTTTAGGGTTTAGGGTTTAGGGTTTAGGGTTTAGGGTTTAGGGTTGGGGTTAGTATTTAGGGTTCAGGGTTCAGGGTTTGGGATTTAGTGTAATTGGAGTCATATACCCTATACTACTATACTCCCTGCAAAGTGTATGGGCCATAAACTTTTTAGGCTTCATCTGGTACCCAAGGAACTTGGCTTCACCTTAATTGCAGTTTTGATCTCTTTACAGTGTCAAAGAAGTTGCTGATAACAGTTTTGCTGCGGTAAGTTTTTTTTGGTTGAGGGTTTAGGGTTTTGCGTTTGATAGTTTTGGCTCGAGGGTTTGAGGGTTAAGGGTTTGGGCTTTGGGTGTAGCGCTTTGGGGGTTCAGGGTTTGAGGGTTTCAGGGCTTGACGGCTTAGTTTGGTTTAGGGTTGAGGGGTTGCTATTGACGGGGCTGCGGTACATGCTTATAGTAAGGGTGTGGTATGTAAAGGCTTTAGAGTAAAGTCCCTAAACCCTAAACCCTAAACCCTAAACCCTAAACCCTAAACCCTAAACCCTAAACCCTAAACCCTAAACCCTAAACCCTAAAGGCAAGGGAGTTGTTTCAGGTCCCCTACTTCGAACCAAAGAATGCTGAAGGCTTGAGGTCTTCAGGGTTTAGGCGCTAGGCATCTGCTTGTCCGTGTGGATGCGTGTGCGATGTGCTTTTGTGCACACCCCAACACAACTCTGAACTTGTACTCTTCGGGAAGGTGCTGGGGTTCCACAGCTGAAACAATCATGTGGTTAGGGTGGGGTTTGGGTTGGGGTGGGGGGGATTGGGGCTTGCTTGGATGCTCACAATCCTAAACCCTAAACCCTAAACCCTAAACCCTATACCCTAAACCCTAAACCCTAAACCCCATAATTTCATCACGCTCACTTGGGGGCCGCCGTACAGCAGCCTTCAGCTGCAGCAACAGCTCATCTTTGGCGAGCTGTTGAGTTCTTGGCGGCAGAGAAACTCCAAGGGTCCGAATGCCCTATCCCTCAGCCTGAGGTACAGCGTTGTACAACCCTATACCCTAAACCCTAAACCCTAAACCCTAAACCCTAAACTACAGCGTTGTATGTTCAAGGAGGGCCCCTCCTGGTCTTGACTCACAACCCTTGTGGTTCTCGGTTGGGAAACTATGGAAAGCGCCGAGTTTCGGTGCTAGGGCCCCTCCCGATACTCATTGACATCGCTTGTGGTTCTTGGTAGGGAATTTGGGAAACCCTCGAGCTACCGTGCTAGGGTTTAGGGTTTAGGGTTTAGGGTTTAGGGTTTAGGGGTTTATGTAGGGTTCATGGGTCTAGAGTCTACTTTGGATGCTTGGAGGTTCATGGGTACTAGCAAGAAGGGCTACATGTACCTCGAAAAAGGCTGCAAGTCCAGCTACCCTACTTCCCTAAGAGGGTTTAGGGTTTAGGGTTTAGGGTTTAGGGTTTAGGGTTTAGGGTTTAAAGAGGGTTTTTAAAAACCCTCTTCTGCAAGTCCAGCTACCCTACTTCCCTTTCCCTACAGTCACGCAAAGAGCTGTATAAAGGGACATGTGCCTCATGCCCGCCCAATTAAGAGCTCGCAAGACGCAGGGCCTGGGAAACAGGCATAGACTTTGGGACCCTGATAGCCATACGGCGAAACGTGGGAGACGCGAGGGACAACGGCGTCCCGCGGGCTTCCGTCACGCAACTGGGCTTAGTAATTACTATGATTGGGGTTTAAGGCCTTATTAAGGTACCCTCAACCCCAAATTACCCCTTAACCCTACGGGTATTTCTTGGGGTTGTATACTCTGATTATTATTAGGATCCACTTGCCCTTACTCTTCCGGCCGCCCTTGCTCCAGGCTTGTTGCCTCTAAACCCTAAACCCCAAACTTTACACCCTCAATCCTCCAAACCATCATCTACAGCCTAAATCCCAAACCCTCAACCCTACACTTTGAACCCTGAACTCTAAACCATCAACCCTAATCAACCCGAATCTGTTAACGCCAAACTCCCAAACCTTCAACTTCAACCCTATAGGGTTTGGGGTTTAGGGTTTAGGGTTTCTAACCCGAAAGTCCCGAACATTCAACCCAAAACTTTGAACCCTAAACTCCAAAACCATAAACCCTAAACCCCGAACCCCAAAGGTCCTCCTAAACCCTAAGCCCTAAGCCCTAAGCCCTAAGCCTTAAGCCCCTAAGCCCTAAGCCCGCCCTAAGCACTAAGCCCTATCCCTAAACCCTAAACCCTCAGCGCCAAAGGTCCTCTCAGCCACAAGGAAGCCGCGGAACTCTGTTCGTTTTAAAATTTCTTCAAACACCGGTGCTCCAACTCTGCTTAAAGCTGTGTTCTTAAAGTTTAGGGTTTAGGGCTTAGGGTTTGCAATTTAGGGTTTAGGGTTTAGGGTTTAGGGTTTGGGGTTTAGGGTTTAGGGTTTAGGGAAAATTCAAAGGCTTGAGGGAATCTTGGCTCCTTCACGGTTCAGGCTTGGGGTTTTGTGCGTTGGGAGGCTTTGGGTCCATGGTTATTGGTTGGGGCTTCTGCTGTCCCTAAACCCTAAACCCTAAACCCTAAACCCTAAACCCTAAACCCTAAACCCTAAACCCTAGAACTTCAAACCGAGCCCTGAACCCCCCGGGTTTGAAGTTTGGGGCTTGTGGTTCAACCCCCGTTGGGGAGTACTGTCGTCTACTATTTGCTTAAGAACCCCAACAAAATACGAAATGAACAGTCCTATCGTGCCCTGGCAAGGAAGAAGATTTGTAGTTTCTTGCGGGGTTCGAAGGGGCTTCTGCTGTCCCTAAACCCTAAACCCTAAACCCTAAACCCTCAACCCTCGCACGAGGGTGTCCGACTCCTGTCTGGAGGTGGAAGGCACCTGATGCCGGCAGCTGCTGGCTGCCGGCATTTCATCTTGGGTTCATGAGGGCCGCCCCTGCAAGCAAT